ATGTTGTCTCCAAAGTCTCCAGTAGCAGAAAAAAGTTGCTATATTTGGTGCTAAATGCTTTTTTGAAATCAAAGTGCTAGAGGGGTCTGAAAAGAGGCTAAATATAGCGACAAAAGCGCTAAGTTGGCAACACTGCTCTTTGCATGGTTTGTTTTCAAATGGTTTGCTGCTGTCTGTTTGGACCTTTCTGAACATGTGCAGCAAATGGACTGATCCAATATGGTGGACACTGAAGGGGGGGAGAAAGGATTTTTATCAAAACAATTATTAATGTGCACAAATAGGAAGTAGATGTATTAACTCTACATGTAAACAGAGTTTTATGGGGCCCCCAGGAACTAGGGGCCCTAGACAACTGCCTAATATTGCCCTTATGGTAAATCCCTCCTCTGTTCTATATATTTTGGATTCTGGTTATCCAGAGTAGGCATGTTGTTGAGATATGCTCTGTGTATTTACACAAGTTTTATTCAGTTTTTAGCCCAAACTGTTGCCTATTTCAAATATAAAATTAAAAGAAACATCCTGTCGATCAGCAGTTATATGACAGGTGAAATGCTGACAAAAAGATAAAATAGAAAAAATATATATTATGAAATTAAATGACTACACTAAAGGCATATTTACATTATAATATACTTTACAGTTATACTAATGTAAGAAAAAAAATTAATTAAATGTATGAAAGTGTTTAAAACATGTTAACAAGAGCAAACAGCTGAGCAGAAATAGCAGGGATGTAAAACAATTGATTGTTTTGGGAGCAACGATATGGCGGCTGGCTGGGAAACATCCCGTCAAAAAACAGCTCCTCAGTTCTGCAGATTCCTCCATGTTATTGGCTTCTCTGCCAGCCTCCAGGCTGACTGGGGTTGTTGTTGTTTTAGTGACTGAAGCTTAACCCCATAAGTCCAGTACAGGCCCCAGCTGCCAACAGCTGATCTATATCTATTTATAGAAATGGCCAAAACACAGTCACATGGTGTTTCACCCACATACCTTTAAAATGGGGCCTTAAAATTTCTAAAACATGTTTAAAATAATTTTTTCACAAGAACGTTTTGTTTTATAGTTGTTTAAACAAATAAAATTAGATTTTAAATTACACCTGAAATGTGTGACTGCGGGAGTAATGCAACAACAGGTTTTCATTTTAAGCCACACCCCCTAAAGGAGGGTCATCATTGGAAACTAGAGGCTCTGACCTTTTCAACAACTGGTTGCTAGGAATTTCAGGTAATGTAACCGGCATACCTTACATAAGCTGCTCTGTTATTCTTATTTTCTATGAAATTCCGATGAAGCAACGGCTAAATCTAAGGAGCAAAGGCTTTGTCTTATGCAGGAGGTCTCCAATTATGTAAACCAGCATATCTGCTGTGTTTATTTTGGAAAAAAAATTGGCGAGGCTAATGTTTTTTTTCTTTGTTATAAATCAGACATTGTAAAATCTAAAATAGTGGTTCCACCAGAAAAATATTCCTCAATGCCTTTCTGTTATACAAATAAAAACAACTGTATATCCAATTTATAGTTTGGGAGCTGTACTTGTTTTAATTCACATATGTAATTTAAGGGGGGGGATTTCCTCCAAGACCCTCTGGGCTTAAAGTATTAAAAAACAAAAAGTGGAACAAAAAAACAACCTGTGCTTTTAGAACAGGCAAGGATAATCTGTTTCAGCTGCCATGAGTCCAACTTTCCAACAGCGCTTTGACAATGCTAGCCCAGATACCAACAGACTTTACCTTGCAGGTGGGTGAGGGCCTCCGGGTTTTGGTGTGACAGTCGACTCAGACTCTGAAGCTGAGAACACTTGTGAGCCACCCCCCAGCTGCGCTGCCACCTGGAAAGGCACAAACAATCCTTATTTTAAGATTAAGCTGTGTTTTACTAGTCCAGATCCGCCCTTAAGCTTAATCTTAACAGATTTATCTTCTAAAGAAAACTAATTTGCAGTGCAATCAAATGGTCTTATCCTCAAAAGTGTATTAAAACAAGACCTAACTATCTGAGAACGTTTTCAGTCATCCAGGTTGGAGTCAAGCTTGAAAGGTTTAGGCAACTGGACTTGACGTTAAAAAGGGTGGCACCGATCCCTCCCATGGTGGAGGGATCAGAGTCACCTTTTGTTTCCTCCTAATTCTTTTGTTACACCCAAAGTATAGTAAACTCAGTGCTCCCCACCAGTGGTGCACTTTGAATTAATTTGACTGTATGATATGATCTTGAACTGTAAAGTGCCTTGAGAAGACTTGTGTTGTGAATTTGTGCTATATAAATAAACTGAATTGAACAAAGTACTCAACAGTAATACTTGAGTAAAAGTATTGACACTTAAATCTTACTCAATTACAAATAAAAGTTACTCTCAAATTTCTACTTACCGGTATGTAAAAGTATTAAAGCAATCAC